AAAAAAAGCATTGAGTCCATCAGCTTTTTCCACATCCTCGGTCCCTAGGTTGCCTCCCTCATGCAGTAAGGGGCCCTTACTTTCCTTGATTTTCTTCTTGTTGCTAACATACCTGAAGAAACCCTTCTTGTTACTCTTAACATCTCTTGTTAACTGCAACTCCAAGTGTGATTTGGCCTTCCTGATTTCACTCCTGCATGCCTGAGCAATATTTTTATACTCCTCCCTGGTCATTTGTCCAATCTTCCACTTCTTGTAAGCTTCTTTGTTGTGTTTAAGATCAGCTTCCCCCGTCCCCCTCTGATCCAGCTTCTCTTGGGCTTCCCATCTGGCTGGGCAGACGCCGACTCATGCCCCAGGGTTCCTTGGCAGGAGGGGTGGAGTTCTGTCATGGGAAGCCCTGTGTCCCAGGCTTCAGGGCACAGCGTGTCCCCTCCCTGTGCTGGCGCTATTGCCAAGGAGAGGCCAGAGGGTCTGGCACCATCCTCTGTGCCCCCTGGCAAACCCTGCGCTCCTCCCACCGCAGGGCTGCTGGCGGGTGACATGGGGCCAGGGCGTGTGACCCAGGCCACGCTGGCCTACAGGAGCCTGTGATGCAACCGGCTGAATCCCAGGGGTGCATGCCAGGCATCCCCTCTCTGTGCCAGTGTAACGATGCGGCCTCTGGCGGGACACAACTCAGATTATCAATTCAGGACAAATTGCTTAGAGCAGGGCTGGGACGGAGCAGGGAGCGGGGCGGATTTGACCTGGGAATGGAGCCTGGGAGTTACATTGAGATACCTGAGCTGTAACCTGAGCCAGGAAGGGGGGTGGGAGAAGTGACACCTTCTGCCCCGGAGACAGAACAAAGGAGAGGAGGAGCAGGGGAGGGGGGAGAGAGCTGCTGGAGGGATTTTTGGGAGTTTTTCAGTTTTGGGCTGGGAGGTGCAACGCGGGGAACCCAAGCTGGGGTCTAAGCTCCCTGCACTCCCCAAGAGGACTTGACTGAGGGGTCCTGGTTGTATCTACAAGCTCTGCTGTAGACCGTGTTCCTGTTCTCCAATAAACCTTCCACTTTACTGGCTGGCTGAGAGTCACGGGGAATCGCAGGAAGCCGGGAGTATGGGGGCCTGAGTCCCCCACACTCCGCGACAAGGGCAGTTACAGCCCAAGGCTGGGTTCCAAACCAGCCAAACAGAGAGGACTTCGGTCTCACCCCACTGGCTAACCACAACTCACACAAGCAATTCCCTTAGACACCCCAGTTTCCCAGTATCACCACCAGTGCTACTCGTTATGGGGACAAATCGTTATGAAAACCAATACCCCAGTAAAAGAAAAAAGGTTCTCTCGATCCCAAAGGATCAAGCCCCAGACCCAGGTCAATATACAAATCAGATCTTACCCACAAATCACGCTGTTGCCAATCCTTTAGAATCTAAAATCTAAAGGTTTATTGATAGAAAGAAAGAAAGAAAGAAAGAAAGAAAGAAAGAAAGAAAGAAAGAAAGAAAGGTGAGAGTTAAAATTGGTTAAATGGAATCAATGATATACAATAATGGCAAAGTTCTTGGTTCAGGCTTGCAGCAGCGATGGAATAAACTGCAGGTTCAAATCAAGTCTCTGGAACATCCCCAGCTGGGATGGGTCATTCAGTCCTTTGTTCAGAGCTTCAGTTTGTAGCAAAGTTCCTCCAGAGGCAAGAAGCAGGACTGAAGACAAGATGGAGAAACTGCAGCTGCCTTTTATAGTCCCTTGCCATGTGACCTGTGCTTCCTTTGTTCCAAAGACAAGCCACCCAGCACATGGCATGAAAGAACTTTCGAGTTCTGTCCATAGGCATGTCCCTGCCTTGCTCAGTCACAAGGTGTATCTGCCTTCTCTCAATGGGTCAGTTGTATGGCTGATGGTCCTTAATGGGCCATTAAGCAGGCTAGGCAGAGCTAACACCAACTTGTCTGGGGTGTCACCCAAAAGCATAGCACAAGTTTGAAATACAGACAGTCTAGAGCCAATACTTATAACTTTAAATACAAAAATGATCCATGCACACAGGTAGCATCATCATAACCAGCAAACATAACCTTGTCTTAGGCACCTTATTTGACCCCCTTTATACAAGATTTGGTGCCACTACAGGACTTTGGTTGCAACAATGATCTATCCGGTCCTGGGCTGTGTCAATAACGTCAGAGCCAGGCACTGGCAGACGGGCAGGGCTGGGGCTGGGCCCAGGAACCTCTGTGAGGAGGGGACAGCAACAGCTGCGAACTGATCTCTGTAAAATATTGTGCATCCAACCCAGCCCCTTGTACCTGCCTCCTGTACCTGCCCTGCAAACCAGCCCCCCGTACCTGCCCCCTGTACCTGCAACCCCAAACCAGCCCCCCTGTACCTGTCCTACCAACCCAACTCCCACATCTCCCTCTACCTGCTCCGACAGCCTGACCCCTGTGCTCCCTGCCTAGATCCCTTCACCTGCCCCTGCCCCTCTGCCTCCCCCGAGCCCTCAGTGCAGACCCCCGTACCCCACGTTACCCGACACAGAGCCCTGTACCTGCCGCCTGCCCATTCCCCAGCTGCTTGGATCCCCTGCACCAGCCATGCACCATCCCCCTAACCGCTCTGTGGTGTCACCCCCATTTGCGCACACACAGTGCAGTGCATGTGACCAGGCCGTGCCCTACAGGCCCCTCAGAGCCTGGGCTGCCCATAGCTGGGTACTACACCAGTGGGCACAGAGAGAGCGACAGCCGCCATTCACCCGCTGGGCCGGGGGCTCGAGGACACTCGGTGGTTCCAGTGTGTCCCTAGTGCAGGCCGGACGGAAGCTGGCAAGTGGGGGCCGTGGGACCCCGGGCCTGGAGAGACGACGTGGGCTGGAGAGACGACGTAGGCAAAGGGCTGGGAGCCAGGACTCTGGATGCTGGCATGGCTGGTGCCACTCTGTGGGGGTGATTTCCCCCGGTGCAACATCCCCCATGGCCTGTGCACCCCGAAGCTGCCTGGGTGGACTCTGCCCCAACCTCCCTGGTCCAGCTCGTCCCATGAGTCCCGCCAGAATCTGCCCCCCAGCTCCTGCGCTGCTGTACGGGGGAGGGGGCCCAGGACCTACGCTGACCCAGCAGATCTCCCAGGCAGCCTAGGCTGGGCCCCACACACGTTCTGGCAGCTCCTGGGTGCCAGGGTGGGCACTGGCCTCACAGGGGTGGCCCCAGCTCTCGGTATCTCAGTGCCCAGTCTGCGAGCTGGGGGTGGTACCCCTCCTTCCCGGGGGGGGAGCATTCGGGGCAAGCCCCCTATTGCATTTCGCTATGGAGCTGATAAGGCCATGCGGCCCGCCCCATTCCTGGTGCTGGCGGGGGCATGGGCCCCTGCGACGGCTGGGCTGGGGTGATCACCGGGAGGCTGCTCAGGGCAGCTCTGCCCCACAAGGGGCCCCTGCCCCTCGGCGTCCCCTGGAAGCCCTGGGGAGCCCCATTGCCTGGTGCGAGCGGATCCGGGCCGGGGCGGGACCTGCTCCCCTAGCCTGTCCCAGCAGAAGTTGCTGAAAGTCACAGAATTTCCGCCTCCAGACCTGCCTGCTCGTTAGGAGAGTTTGGGTGGGTGGGGCCACATCAATACCTGGTGTAAATCTGTTGGCTTCCATGGTTACCCCAGGCGTGGGCTTGGCCCATGGATCTAGGGAGCTGGCGCTGAATCGCCACAGGAGGCCGGGGGTGGCTGGAGCTGGGCCGCTGCGGGTGCCTTGGCCCCAGCAATGACGAAATCGGGGACGCATGGGAGGGGACAGGAGCTCACCTGCCCGGCTGCAGGAGAGACCTGGAGGTCTGTGCGGGGGGGGGGGGAGGAGGGGTCAGGCTGCAGGACCCAGTTTGTCCTGGTGTCCGTTCTGCAGCCACCTTGGCCTGGGCTGGGGGGAGGGTGTCTCACACCCCAGCCCTCAGAGCAGCTCCAAATAACCCTCTTTCTCTCCTCCCTCAGCCTGCCAGAAATTCCTTTTCCTTCCTTCCAGGGAGGCCTGGCCAGCGCTCCTGGCTCTGCCGCTGGCCGTGCCGCGGGCACCACGAGCTGAGGCTCAACTCTGCCTGGCCACGTCGAGAAAAGCTAGAATCCTCCCTTCCCCTCTGCCACCCGCGGGCACCAAGGCGCCCGTTGGGGAGGGACAGGGGAGGCCAAAGGTCACAATAGCAAAGGGCGTGGCGGAGGTGGTGCTGCAGGGAAGGGGGCAGGGGGCAGGTGCATGCCCATACATGCACGTGGGCTGTGGTGGGGAGCAGGACTCGCCCCCGTATGGTGGGGGAGAGGGTCTGTTGGAGGGTCAAGTGTTTCATGTGACCATTGCACCATCCCACACTCGTGCCACGGCCACCGACGCCCACCCCAGCCCGGCGCATCGCCTCCATGGACTTGGCGTTAGGAAACACGTGTGCACAACAGTGTGCCTCGTTTGCACGTGCACTGGGGCTGTGACCGGCCGGGCCTGGAGCTGGTCAGGCATTTAGTGCGTGTGGGCGCACGTCAGCTCTGACAGCGAGGCGCTGTCTGTACCGAGACAGATGGGCTGGAAGCGTACGGAGCAGCTGAGGGCCTCACCCCGCGGGTGCAGGGGGCCTTGGGCTCTGCTTGGAAACTGGGGTCCTGTTGGGTTGGTCTTGGGTCCCATCAAGGCTGAAGCTCTGCCCTCGGGGGGAGCCTGGAGCGGGGGCGGGGCCTGGAGCGGGGGCGGGGGCAGAGAGCGTGGAGCGGGGGCGGAGCCTGGAGCGGGGGCGGGGGCAGAGAGCGGGGGCGGAGCCTGGAGCGGGGGCGGGGGAATGTCCACGCACAGGCCCCGGTTCTCGCCCCCGGCCTGGCACAACGCAGGACAGCGACAGTTTGGGCAGAGGCGGACGCAGCTCTAGCTGCTCCTTGTGGGCGGTGGGCACAGCCTGTGGCTGGGGTGTCCTGCTCCCCATCACACTACTCTGTCTTTCCAGTGTGGGCCCCCCCATTCTCCAGCTGGGCACGGGCGGCTCCGGCTCCTCTGGGGCTAGGGGCAGAGTCCGGTTCCTCTGGGGCTGATTTGCATTGAGGCGGCTGGGGTCTCCTTAGCAGCGAAGGGGCCCCAGCCGGGGCTGTGGGAGGCCCGTGGGTCCGGCCGGGAGGAGGTGGTGCAGAACGGAGCACGGCCCAGGGCTGCAGCGTAACCCTGCTGTTGTCTGTTTCAGAGCCGCACGCCAGGCGGTGGAGTAGCATGGGAGAGCCCTGGCCGAGGCATGGGCAGCACTGAGGAGCCAGAGACCCTGCAGCTGCTCGCACAGGAGGGGGCGGCTGAGGACGCGACGAGCGGCTACCTCCACCACTCCCGCTGTGGGGCCAGCGCGCTGGCCATGAGGAACTGCTGCGGCACCGAGCCCGGCGGCACCGAGCCCGGCGGCCAAGGCAGCACAGAGAGCCGAGCCGAGGCCCCCGCCATGGCCCAGCAGTCCTCGCCGGAGCCCGCGGCTGGCGGCCGGGCCTTGGCTCTCAAGGGCCCCGGAGCGGGAGCGGGGCCGTTGGAAAAGGGGGCCGAGCGAACGCCTGTCGCCAGCTTGGGACAGAACGGCGAGCAGAGCTCGGGCCCCTTGACGCGGCCCGATGGCTCCGTCGTCCCCCAGGGCCCTCCAGCGGGGGCGGGCGCTGCCGTGGCCAGCCCGGGGCCGTGCCTCAAGGGGCACAGCAAGGACCCACCTTGCGCCCCGGCCGCTCTGAAACACGTTGCATTTCTTGAACCAGCCAACACAGACCCTGAGCCAGACGGTGCCGGAGTCGCCGCGGTCAGTCCGGAGCTGGGTCCGGTGCCTCCCATGTGCCCGCAGGACCGAAGCCAAGAGCAGCCTGGGGCCTCCAAGGGAGCCGTGTCCTGCTGGAGCGTGGGAGCCCCTGGCGCAGCGCCATTGTCCGAAGATGGCGTGGCCACGCCCTGTGGACACGCTGGTGGGAAAGCACCTGCGTCTCTGGCAGAGCCCAAGGCCCAGCTGGGATCCCCGGCTGCCCCAGGGGCAGGGGGCAACAGGGACATGGCGCTTCCTTCTCCGGAAGGGACCAAGGAATCCACCCCGGGAACAGAAGCAGCGTCAGCCCGAGCCAAGGAGACCAGTCCCCCTGCCCCTCTCTCCACCCAGAAAGCCGCGCCAGAGGCCCCCTCTGCTGCTGCTCCCAGCAAGTCCGGGGAGAGCCGGGCGGCTCCAGCTGAGGCCGGAGGGGGACGCGTCCTGCCCCAGAGCACTGCGGAGGGAAGCCCAGTTCAGGAGCCGCGACGAGCAACGGGGACGGAGGTGGGGCCTGGGGAGGAGGCTGCCCGGGAGACCCGGACTGTGGAGCTGCTCTCCAAGACCTACTCGTTTGAGGTCACTCCTCCCCCGCAGGACGCTGGGACTCAGGACACCGGGACGCAGGTCGGCAGCCGAGTGTCGCTGGTGTCCGTGGCCATCAGCCCCATAAACCCCCCGGACGGGTCCTCGGCCTTCACCTTCCACAGCCGGGGCCAAGGCCCCTCGGGCCTGAAGAGCCCGGGCCCGGAGCTGAAGCCCTCTAAGAAGGACGCGGAGATGCAGGTCTCCATCCCAGTGGAGACCAGGTCTGTGGCCACGGGGCCCATGACGCCGGTGGCCAAGTCTCCCCAGGCGTCCTACCCCGAGGTGCGCGTAAAGGGGGCGCAGGAAGAGCCGCCCGAGCCCATCCGGGAAGTCAGCTGGGACGAGAAGGGGATGACGTGGGAGGTGTACGGCGCCTCCATGGAGGTGGAGGTGCTGGGCATGGCCATCCAGAAGCACCTGGAGAAGCAGATCGAGGAGCACGGCCGGCAGGTGGTGCTGACGCCACAGAGCACCCGGGCCAGCTCCATCAAGGGGGCGCCGCAGAAGGGGGAAGTCAAGCGGCCGCCCAGCATGTTCCGGGCACTTCTGCAGAGCGTGCGCCGGCCCCGCTGCTGCTCCCGGGCCGGCCCCGCCGCGGAGTGAGGCAGCCGCTCGCGCCCTGCTGAGAACGGCAGCCCAGCCCAGGTCGTGGGGTTTCTCAGGCAATCCCGGGGGCTGGGGTCTCACCCCTCTGGCCCCAGGCTCAGCAGCTCCAGGCACTTGGACCCCACGGTCTCCGGCTCACCCAGCCCAGACACTGGCCACACTGCCCCGCCCCGAGCTGCACACCTGGGCAGGGTGCGGCCTGCAGAGACTTCAGGCCCCAGCATGCAATGCTCACCCAGCAATGTCTGGTTCCATTGAGATGGAGCACTGCATGCTGGGACACGTAATCCCCACATGCTGCACCGTGGTCTGCAGGAGGGGTTGCTGAGATCTGGGGTCAGGGTGCAGCTGACACAGCCGTCCCTCTGCTGGGCAACATCTGGGCACCCCTGGGTGGGGACTGGGGTTTGTGCAGTGAAGCCCGTGATGGGAAGGCCAGAAGAAAAGCGGAAGGGGTGGAGGTGGTTGCGGACCAGCCCTTGGGAGCGTGTCTGGCAGGGGGCCGGCTCCTTGCCTTTCCCCCGGTCACAAGCTGAGTTTCCCAAAGCACAAAACTGGCTACCTTAAAGTCCCTCGGCCCAGGTCCTAAGGTCTGGCTCCCCGGACAGCGCCCGGTGCCTGGAGCTGAGCCCTGGCCGCGCCGGAGAGTCCCGCTGCCCCTTGTGCGTTCTGGGGAGACTCCAGCTTCCCGTCAGCCTGGGAACCAGCCGCGCTCTGCCGCCCTGCAAAGCTGCAGTCCTGCTCCGAGCCAGGCGCCCGCTGTGCCAGGCTCCCCGGGGAGGTGGTGGAAGCTTTGCAGTCAGGCTGTGCCCTGCTAGCTGGGCTGGCCTGGGCTGGCTTTGCCGGCGCTCATGTATCGCACTGTGGTTTGGAGAGACAAACTCCGGCCTCGCTCCGGGTCCCGAGAGGCTCCTGGCTCTGCAGCCGCTGTCACCGACTCCCGCCCTCGACTGAGCTCAAAGCTTTGCAGACGGGTGTCCTCCCCACGGTGGCACGGGGAGGCAGCCTGTAGCCCTCTGCCCCAGCTCAGCCCTACCCTCCCCACACCGGAGCACCCGGGGGCAGGCGCTGCTGCGTGGTGCATCCCTGGAGCCTCCCCGTCCCACTGGCCACTCCCGCCCGCTGCACAGGTGCTCAGTGGGCGTGCCAGGGTGGGTGGGGCAGGGAGGCGTAGCTGCGCCGGCAGATGGCACAGGCCCTGGCAGCAGGGCTCAGGCCGCCCAATTGTCTCCTACCAAAGGGCTTGTGAGTGGAGAAGTGCCGAGCCCTGAGCCCCCAGCGAGAGCCCCGGAGAGGAGAGCAGCTGGGCTGCAGGCCTTAGCCCTCGTGCCGGGGAAATGGCACCTGCCCAGCGCACGGAGCGGTGTCTGCCATCGCCAGACCAGGAGGTGCAGGCTCCGGGCAACTGGGTTTCTGGGGGGAGTTTCAGGAGGCCCCTGGGAGTCCAGCCCCAAACTAACCTGAACTCCCGGCTTACAGCCAAGCATCTGGAGGGGCCAGTGGGGCTGAGCCAGGCCTGTGTGGCCAGAGGGGCTAGTGCTGCCGGACCCAGTAACGGACCCCCAGGCTCTGCTTGCCGCCTGGGCCTAGGGAGCAGCGGCCCAGCTGGGTGGGGGCAGGGGCCCAGCCTGCGGCCTTTGTTCTCATGTCAGTCAGGCAAGGCAGGTCCCTCCCGCTCCCCCTTGGCTCAGCGGGGACCTGGCAGACGGGCTGGAATCTGAGCTGGTTCTGACCCAACAGCTCAGGTTCCTGTGCTCCCTTCTCAGCGGGATCCCAGCTCATCACGCTCCCGGCACCAGTAGCCAGGTGCCCCAGCGGGCTCCACAGAGCGGGGGGGCGGGGGGTCTTGGACTCCAGGCCACGGTGCCAAGGCCACAAACCAAGCCAATTGCCTGAGAAACCCAGACCACTGGGCAACGTTCATGTCCTGTCTGGGCATCCTGCGTGTGTGTCTGTGGGGCCTTGCGTCTCAGCGTGTGCATGTGTCTGTGTGTGTGTGTCAGCGTGTGCGTGTGTCTGGGTGTCCCTGCGGGTCCCTGAGTGTGCATGTCACTGCGTGGGCATATGTGGGTCCCTGCGTGTGCGTGTGTCTGTGTCCCCCTGCATGGGGGCGCAACCGTGCATCTCCCTGTGGGTCTGCGTGTCCCTGCGTTGGGGCGTGGCCGTGCGCCCCTGAAGTCCACGTGGTTTTCAGATCACAAAGGGGTTTGTTGGCACTTTTCACGTTCGGGGTTTTTCAGGGGAGATTTTATTGAACTGTGTTTGAATTTTCTGGCTTTTTCAAGGACTCGCGCGGCGGCGTTTCCCCCCAGAGCTGCTTGCTCCGGTGGCGTGAGGAGCCGTTTCCTTTTCTTTCCTCTTCTACAAACTTCCTTCATGGTGGGATTTCGTGGTTTGTCTCTGGAAACAAACCGGGCAGGCTGAGCTCAGCCGAGCGCCAGGGTATGTGAGGGGGGGAGTCACCGCTTCCAGGACACACCCCAGCCAGAGCTGGGGGCAGCACCAGCCCCTGCTGCTCCGACATTCACCCTGGCAAAGCCCACACCGCAGTGGGGCTGGGGACAGAGCCTGCTGGTGGTTCCTGTGTAAAGACCTCACCCCCCGTCCCCCCGGCTGCTTGGGCCTCTGCCCTGGTGCAGCTCGTGAAAGCGACCTGAGCCCGAGCTGCAGAGTGGGAGCGCGGGCGGACGTGGGGGCAGAGGCTGCGCCCGGGGAGCTGATGCTGGTGATGGTGGTGATCAGTGCCCCTAGCTTGCTGCACGAGGATCAGTGCCCCTAGCTTGCTGCACGAGGATCAGTGCCCCTAGCCTGCTGCACGAGGCAGCTCCTGCTCCACACAAGGACCCTCAACACCAGCTCCTCGGCGCCTGCCCAGGTCCATAGAGCTGGGGGCTGCTGACTGCCTGCGGGAAAGGAGCAGAGAGGTGCCCGGCTCCATGGCACGACTGGGGATTGGCCCAGGCAGGAGGGGGCCAGAGAGAGATGCAGAGCCAGCGTGTGGTGAGAAGGACCCAGCTGCTTCTCTCTCTGGGCTGGGTGCCTCTCAGGATGCACCCTGCTGAGCCGGGGGCAGTGAGCGGGGCGCAGGCCCAGCGTGGGGCGTGAGCTTTTGCAGGCAGCTGGCCTGGTGCAGGTGGGCATGGCAGGCGTGTCTGCCCCCCTGGGCTGCCCAGCCCTGGAGCAGGCGTCCCCATTTGTTCCGAGAGTCACGTCCCTGCAGTCCTGCCGCTGGGGGGAACCTGGCCCTATGAACCCTGAGGCCCAAAGGGCAGTGGGTGCTAGGTGCCCAGTTTCAACGCCACACGCCTTGGAGCCCACCCCTCCGGGGTGTCCCAACAGAGGCCCTGCCTGGGCAGCGGGGAGAGGGCACTGGGGTGCAGCTGCAGGGGCGCTTGGAGGCAGGTGCCTGCGGGCTCTACCCACATCCCTCCCTTACCCTGCTGTCTCTCTCACCCAGGGGCACTTGCCAGGCCATAGCCCAGTGCGGAGGCCCTGGTGCCCCACCTGCTCTGCCAGGCCATGCTGCAAAGCCAGATGGTAGCAACTGAAGTAGGTGTCAATCATGTGACTTTCCCGGCCAATCAGCCTGCAGGATACCCTGGATGTCCCATGTACACGAGGACCCACCCTGGCCCTTGGGCACCAGCTCTGCCCCCGGAGGGGGGGGGAGCCATGCGCTCCCAGGGGGAGCAGGGCAGCCCAGGGAGAGCCCATCACATTCCTGCCTCTCCAGCCAATCAGCACACAGGGCTCACTCACTGGCTGAAGTGCACCTTTTCAGCCAATCAGTGTACAGGATTCCCGGGCAGCTGATTGGCCAATGTTAAGAGATGTTAAGAGTAACAAGAAGGGTTTCTTCAGGTATGTTAGCAACAAGAAGAAAAGCAAGGAAAGTGTGGGCCCCTTACTG